AAACTACTCGGTTAAGGTCTTGTCGGTTTTGTAAAATAACCATCCTATCTTGTTAAGACTTCCTGGACTGTTGTCAAAATGTCATGTTGTCTCATTTTTTCAGAGAAGTTCGTTTAACCGAGGGACCGAGGGACCGAGGGACCTGGTGTTATACTAAACATCTTCAGGGGGCTAGAGGGGCGCAGCCCTGGAAGCCCCAATACCCTTTTTTTTTTTTTTTTAAATTCGGATATTGATTATATAAATAGCACTGTTAACATATTTTGGATGAGTAAAAAATACCTTGTTTTGTATGCATTTAGTACACCTTTATTTTTGATTAAAACTATAAAATTTTTATTCCTTATATAATAAATAGTATATGTTACATAAACATGAAATTCAATAGCATTCAATTTTGGATTTTTTAGATTTGGTAAATTTTAGAAGAAATAAAATCAGCAATCAAAATAAAGAAACTTTTTTGTATCTTCTATGATTACCTTTTGGTACTAAATTTTGCATTAATAAGTAAATTATCTGTATTATTCTGTGAGCACAAGCCCTCAGTTATGCTGGTAGTGAATGAGGAATCGTCATTTTGCGAAGAGAACGCGATTATTAAGGTAATTTTGAGAATTGTCTTGAATTATTTAAAATTAAAGTTAATTGAATAGGTAGGATAACTAGCCTTTGCTAAATTTGTATAATTTGACCTTATTCTAGTTGGATCTGAGAATGTTTTGCTGAAATAATAAATTATATCGCCGATTTATGAAAATTTCTCTGATGGGACCGACTCGCTGAAACGTATTAGTGTTAATGGTAACTTGTCTGAATTTTCAAATTTTTTTCGAAATCCAAAAAATCACAAACAAAAGCATCAAAATTAAATTTGAATTTAAAGTTTTCATTTTTTTTGGAAAATAAAAATATTTTTCCCCAATAAAGTTTGTTTTTACTTTTGAGAGGAATAGAAACGTTATTTTGGAATTTTGAAACGACAGAAATGTTCCATTTTTAATGTAGATTCTAAAATGGGGTCAAATTTTTGATTGAACCGTTATCCATTGAAAAACCTCGATTTTAAAATGTTATTCCAAAATATTCATCTAATGATATAGTATATATTTATTAATTATTACTTTTTATTCAATTTTCACTTTTGGCGGGATTTCATTTTTTTGTTGTTGTATGGGCCATATTGTTCACCCAAAACGGAAAACAAAGGCAATGCATAACATTTTACTCCACGAACGTCGTCGACTCTCAGCGCGACAGATGCTTGGTGCTTGCATAATGACCGGAATGCCATATACAAAAGGTGCTCGCTTTCTTTCTCTTTGTGGAACTAAGCCCCCTGTGAAGAGTGGTGTCATGAGACAACAGAGATTTTGTGACGATAAGATTAGAAGACTTAAAAGTATTTCCCTAATGCTGTCGAGAAAGTCCTTCAGTGGTTACTTATCCATTGATGCAAGATGGACGCACAGGCGAAACTCGCCAAGTTGTACAGTAACTGCGCTCGATGCTGTCACAAAAAGAGTTCTTGCATGCGTGAACATCAACCATATTGGTGGAAACAGACAGCATGCTCAGTATTCCGGAGCTTCCAACAATATGGAAAGTGCTGGAACTCGAATCATCTTGAAGCAATTAAAGAAATACAATATCTTGAAAGATGTTAAAGAGATTATTAAAGACCGAGATAACAAAAGTGTCTCTGTCTTTAAAGAATTTGGCGTCTCTCATCTTGAAAGATTCGATCCAGGTCATGTATCAAAAAATATCTCAAAAGATTTTACAAAGTTCTCAGCTTCTCATAAGACAGTTGAAGTTTTCAACGACAAGACTCAGAAGATTGAAAAAATAGAGAGACCTTTCTGGGGTCTGAATGCAAGCCTAAGTATGTGGCTTTGGTCATGTTTTGCCGAAGAAAATATTGACAAACGTACGAAAATGTGGGAGAATTGTGTCTACCATTACGTAGGCAATCATTCTTTTTGCGAACCGCACAATTACAAATGCTTTGAATGGCAAAAAGGTGTCAATTCGATCCAACTTCAATTCATGCTCTATGACTGGGTTCACAAATGGACACCCATAGTTTCCAAAGTTTCTTCCAAAATTGCATGCTATTTGGACAAATCAAGAGCCTGGAAGAACATTAACATTAGAGTTAACGTTGCAATCTTAGAATGGAATGATCCAGAGCATTTTCTCGGAGATATACAAAAAGCATTACATCTTCCCCCACTTCCAGAAGATTGTGTCAAATCATTTGAAGAGAATTGTTACTCCAAAATGATATTGAAACAAAAAACTGTTACAAAAGGTTCTAAAAAACAGAACAAATACAAAAAATCCATTCAGAGTGTACCAGGAGGAGATTATCAAGTTTTCAGGTCCGAATGGGAATCAGAAGACGAAGACATTGATGACTTTGATTAACGAAAATTACATTTTATTTATTGTTTTTGTTTTTAATTAAATTATTATTATGCTCATTTTCTTATTTTGATTTTTTCTCATTATGATATAAATAATTTATTAATGCATTTATCCAATAATTATGCTATGATATTTTTATGCCTTATTTCATTTCTCTTATATTTGATAATCTGGTAAAATATAGTTCAGACTATAATCATTTTAGATTATTGATATATTTATATAGGTTAGAATAAAATTAGTTTCATTTTCTACTTTTATTTTGAATTAATAATTTATAATATCAAATATTATGGCGTAACCTCTCCTTTAAAATATAGATATATATAGGCCTATAGAGTTTATTGGCACTCTCAAAACTCTAGAATTTTGAGTTTACTATACCCTTAAGTTTCTGACGGCCAAGTTAGCAGATCTTAAATTTGGAGCAGTATTGAGTGTTGGATGGAATTTAAAAAAAAAAAAAAAAAAAAAAAAAAAAAAGGTAGTGGGGCTTCCAGGCACTTCGTGCCTTCTAGCCCTGAGGATGAATGAGTATAATGAAGTTCTTATATACGGGTCTTCCAGGAGCTTTTCACAAAATATATATGTTTTTCATGTTTTGTCAAGATTTCATCGTAAAGACTTTGTCAAGATTTCATCGTAAAGACTTTGTCAAGATTTCATCGTAAAGACTTTGTCAAAACTTCATCGTAAAGACTTTGTCAAAACTTCATCGTAAAATCAGACAAAAATAATGTTTAGGGTAGAAGGTTAGATATAACCTCTTTTCTAACCTCTTTTCTACCCTCTTGAATTTGTCAAGATTTCTTCGTAAATGTTTTGTCAAGACTTCTTCGTAAATGTTTTGTCAAGACTTCTTCGTAAATGTTTTGTCAAGATTTCATCGTAAAATCAGACAAAAATAATGTTTAGGGTAGAAGGTTAGATATAACCTCTTTTCTAACCTCTTTTCTACCCTCTTGAATTTTCATGAAATTTACACCAAAAATATACTACTAGGGTCATTTACGAAGAAATCTCAACAAAGTCTTTACGATGAAATCTCAACAAAACATAGACAAGAAAGTTCATGAGAAATTAGATGAAGAAGTCTTAACAAAGTCTTTACGAAGAAATTCATGAAAATTCAAGAGGGTAGAAAAGAGGTTAGAAAAGAGGTTATATCTAGCCTTCTACCCTAAAATATATTTTTGGGTCATTTACGCTCATTTACGAAGAAATCTCAACAAAGTCTTTACGAAGAAGTCACAATAAAACATCTGTCAAAAACCGCTTTTTAACTTCACTTAAAATGCCACGTAAGCTACGTAAGAATATACGTAAGAGGAAGAGAGCATTGAAACATCCAATAGTAAAACTGACACCACAACAACAGTTGCAACAACAAATGCTGAATGACCCCACTATGTTGCAACAAATGTCAAGCAATCCTATGCTTTTAAACCGAGTCATTGGTGCACAGAGTGGAGGTTTAAGAGCGGGACTTTTAGCGAAAATGGCAGGCTATGGTGGAGCTGCAGACGGAACAGCCTATAACCCTCAAAGTCAAATGAATTTGAGTTCACTCAAAAATCAAATAACAGATGTCAAAAAGTCAAACATAGACATACAGAAGCAAATAAGTGAAAACGAAAAGAAACTAGAATATGACAGACACACAAAGAAACTCAATGAGTTAAACGTAGAGAAAAAGAAGAAAGAAGAACAACTGAAAGAACTAAGTACAGAGGAATATGCGAAAAAAGTGTCAGAAAAAGCAGCAGAAGTAGCAAAAATGGAACAAGATGTTGTAAATTTGAAAAACCATACTACTCGATATAAAGTACTGAAAGATGAAGAAATAAAACAAAAAGCCCTGAAGACATATATGGATAGCGATGAGTATAAAAAGAAGTTGAAGCAAATGTAAAGGCAGAAAAACTTTTACAGTTGCAAAACCAAACCGTACAGTATGAAAACTTAGCACAAGAAAGTAAAAATAACGACGCAGCCATGCAAAAGGCAATGAAAAGCGCAGAATATATAAAGCTAACAATGACTGGTTAGATGCCCAAGCCAACGCTAAAGCAGCCCAGCTTATAGGGTCAATAAGGACAAAAATACAAGCGGATGAAGACAGTTCAAATGAAGCTTTAACAAATGCTGACTTTAAGAACGCCTTCGAAGCTCTTCATAGTAAGGTGAAACAAGTGAACGACTTCTCATCTGGAAAGAAACTGAAGTCTGAAGGTTTCGACAAAGAGTTAAAAGAAGTAGCACAAAATATGACGAAAATAACAGATGCAGCAACGAGACAGGCAGTTCAAAGTGCCTATGACGCCGTTAGAGCAACTGTTGTGAAAAGTCAAGAAAAAGAGTTACAACAGACCAAAACAGACCTAGTAAATGCTTTCTTAAGAACGAAAAGTCAGGTAGGACATTACGCTGCAGATGGAACATATGTGCCAGCTGGTGGAACTTATATACCAGCTGTGGAACTTATATACTAGCTAGTGGAACTTATATACCACCAAACCCTCCAAGAGAAGCACCTGCACCAGGACTACCTAAAACATTTACATCGTCACATGGACAAGACACAGGCATGCACCAAAACCAACACAACAACCAACAGTTCAAAACCCTGCACAACAACCACCTCCACAACCAGCACAACAACCAACACAAACCAGCACAACCAACAGTTCAAAACCCTGCACCAACAACCACAAACAGAGCAAGGACATAAAAGAAGTAGAGAACAAGGAAACCAAGAATTCTTAAAAATGCTTAAAGAAGAGTGTGGTTTCCCAGATACTGTTGACTTTAGTGACAGATATAAAGAAGCTATTGAAAGTTCAAGGATGGAAATACTGACCCGAACCTATTTAGCTTTATGGCTCAGCACCAAAGGATATAATTCAAACCTGGAAAATACAAGCTCGCTAAGGGATATGATTTAATAGCATATCATCCAAATGACATGAACGAATTTACTCCGAGATATTTGATGTCAGAGCTAAATGACAATACAACTTTCGTCATGAAACGCGTAAAAAATAGAGACGGAACGAAAGAAAAAGCTTTATGAATGCGGATGACTAGATAGGGAAATTGTTAAAACGGTCTCGGAATATATGAAATGCCAGCAGATGAGGTACAAGAAACTCCACAGGAAGAAGTTCAGATACAACCAGACATGGAAGAAATAGTTCAGCAACAACAGCTAGAAGAGCCTGAAGGAAACGAACAAGTCCTTCCTTTGGAAACTAACTTCACAGAACTAGATGAAGATTTGGAACAGCCGAAAAATCTTGACCCTCAACAAGAGTATGCGGAGAATATGGAATCTTTCCAAGAGTCTAAAAAAAATTCGGCTGACATAGTAGAAGAATATCGAAAAATGTTTGCCGACATACAAAAGACTCCAACACCAGATGAAAATATCCAGCATAGAATGGAAGAACTGAAAAAAAATGTACACAAATACAACAACCCTTTTTACTTACGAGCATTTAACGTTCAATCTTCGGATGAACTCGGTGAAGATAAAAGGTTAAATTTCAAGAAAACATATAGAAATGAAACATTGTTTAAAGTTCATTCAGAACCTAACCAAGATGGAAACAAACCTACTTTTGTTTCTGCAGACGATGGAACTACAATGAGATGGGGTCATAAAGCTAACCCGGATAGGTGGTTCATAAACTTACAACCTCAATTCCAAGAAGTTGTAGACGCAATGGAAGTCAATGGTGAACCAGATATAGCTGGTATTTTAAGCGCGGCTTTAATGCCATTGAAAGATATGAAACATGCAGATATTTTGGACCAGTATGAAATGAACATGGCTGATGGAAATATAACACCTGACGTTCTAGAACATTTATCTCAAAGAACTACACAGAACCATAGAGATGGTATATTTGGTGAAGAGTTTAGAAAGAAAGTTAGGGAGAGCGAAGGAAGAGAACCTATTGTACATGACCTTGCAAACGAAAGTTTACAAAATGTCATAAAAACTTACTTTGCAGACAATGAACCGAGAAGGGATGAATATTTAAGAAAACTCAAATGGACAGTACCAAATGAAATGTTAGTATTGAAAAACATGTTCCTTGACAAAATAAAACCAACTACAGAAATAAACGACGCAAGACTGAAAGATTGGGTAGAAGCTTTCCCATTCACAAAAGATATAGTTGGTAACATGGAAAGAAAACCAGAATGGCTACAAAAACATATATTTGGAAACGAGCATATTCCATATGGACAGGCACTGTTTGAAGAGCTTGAACCGGAAACTCAGGAAAGAGTCATGCAAACAATACGCGAAGACTCAAATACAACTATGACAAACTCTTTCTAGGATATAGGTTACCTGAGATGGGCGACCAGAGCCAAAAGGCAAAAAGGACATGGGAAATTTGCAACATACTAGATGAACATAATGCAAAGATGCAACAACTTCAAGCAGAGGGCAATGAAGGAAAAAGAAGAGTTAAAAACTCAGTCAGGAAGAAAGTAAAGCTTGGTCGTGGGTTCTATTATGACATATAAATCCAACTATTCTATATTTTTACTCATATGAAATGTACGCCGCTCAGAATATAACGCCAACAGTTTTGGATGCTATGAATGGAAATGTTTCCGAATGGTATAACGAATGCGACAATGCCATTAGAAGGTCAGAAATAGTTCCTGGAACTTACGAATATACAACTGCTGTTTCTTATGGAAACGTAGGTGAGTTTGGAGAAGGTTCTTCAACAACAGTAGATATTGCTTGCGACAGGTTTCATATATTTCTATTGACAACTCTTTCTTATACGTGGAACAAGACATTGAAATAAAACCTTCTGCCAAGTTGTCTGACAAGAAAGGTTGCAATGGAATTTTCTATGTCGGATACCAATATGCTCCAGAAGTTTTCATGGGATATAAGATATATTCTAACTCTGACTTAGTTCAAACAGTAACATGGGCAAACTATGAATGGTTCGCTTTGAGAAACTCAGTACAACCACAAGCTAGAGAACAAACAGACCAGTATGCAACTATTGAGAAAATAAGAAGACTTGACCCTAACGTTCCAGGAGTTTATGTTGACCTTTCTGGACAAACTGCAGCAGCAGTAACCAAAGTAAAACTGAAACTTAGAGTTCCTTTGTCATCTTTCCTCATCTTCAGGTTTTTAAGATACTTGCCAAACTGGGCAGGAAAAATTTCTATCGAACTTACTCCAAGCAAAAATAACTTAGTCATTGCACCAACACAAGACCCATTCACTCTTACAGACGTAAAGGGAGCAAATCAAACGTCATTCGCCGACTTTTGCAAAGACAAAGTTGACTTAGACTTTGGTTTCTCAAACCTCAACACTGAAGTAAACTATTATTTCAATGCTGCTGGAACTGCTTGGGACCCAGTTAAGTTCACATGCGAAAAGTTTGAATGCAAGAGAATAGAAAGCAGACTTGCAGTCTATATGTTGGACCCAGATATTTCAAATGCTTTAGCTGCCAAATATATTGCAGTTCCACTTATGTTCCCTATACACCAAATATCTGTCAAAGACTTTGCAGGTGAAGTTGGAAACCAAAGTGCTGACCCAGGTGCAAGAACAGATATTGCTTAACAACTGCAATGAAACATGCAGATACTATGTTTGTACTGTTCAGACGAACTATAAATGACTATTCTTGCTTCTACAACCCTGGTATTAAATACCATATAAACATAGATGGCAAATACTATCCAAGAGAAGAATATTCTACAGTTGAGGATATGAGGTCATACAACTTGACATTAGATGCTATGAACTTTAACAACAACTTCACAACAACCATTAACCCTGAAATGCAAAGTTCTATTATGCCATATGTGAAAGTATGGACTCATACAGGAGGTCAAAAACTCAATATACAAATGGAGACCGTTCAAACTTTTGGCTTGGCATTCCATTTGCTGACTCAGAAGACTTTATGGGTGGTATTTCAACTGTTGGTACAGTTCAAATACAATATACTGGTGACAGAGACGGTCCAGATGAATGAAGCAAAGAAGTTTACAAAACCAATAGCACTTTTCACGGAAGATGCTCTTTTGAAGATTCGTTCGATGAAACCTGCTGGGGCTCCTCAGATTGGCATAACGACAGCTTCCATCGAGCAGATTTTGGCAGCAGGTCAGTAAGTTGTTCTTGAACTGACTTCTCTCCGTCAAATATTGACAGTACGCCAGTTTTGATATAATATTGTATTATAAACTTACCTTTAGAAATATCGGTCAGTTTTGTTGTTATATTTTTGTCTGCTTCAAGAACTTTCACCATCTCGGTTATACCAACTTTCTTTGCTTTATGAAAATATTTTGGTTCAGCAAAGACTGCTATTCTATAACATTTTCCATTGTTTGTAAAGAACTATTCTGTCAATGAACTTGTATTGTTTGTGTGTGTAAACTTTGTTTTGCTTCAATTCGAAGAGATACTCAAATACGTCCATCTTTTTATTCTAAGTAAAATGTCATTTCCGAAAAATAGAAGCGTAAGTGTTTCAAAAGGTTTAATGGCGGTGGCAGATGTGAAGTTAAATTCACCAACTCAAACAAACAGTCAAAGTGTTGTTGTCAATGTCAAAGAAAGAGATGTTGAAGTGGGGAAACCATACGAAGACGAAGATGGTATAACAATAGTTCCTGTAAAAGAACAACCAACATATCCTGAAGTTAGCAGAGACTTAAGTTCTGTTGCAGATATTCGAAACGACTACCAACAACTTAAAGACAAACTTAAAACTCAGGAGAAGATTTGTCAAGCTTTGGTATAATGTTAAACTTGGTCGAACACAACCCTGTAAAAGTGAACTCATATGTCATCGCACCTCATGAAATTTTGAAAGAACTATTGAAACTTTTGACAGAGGCAGACGATATAAACATCAAAGAAATAGAACCCGACATTGCTTGCTGTGGTGTTTCATATAATGTCATTGACAAGATATACGTTATGAAAGGAGGTGAAACGTTGAACTTAAAATATAGTTTCCCAGACGTCATAAAAATATTTGACGACCACAACATTTCATTAAAATTTACTTGCTAAGTAAATGGCAGAAGACATAGTGGTTTATACTATTACGACTAAAAACCCTGAGTCATATAATTCTATAACAACAAACTTACAAAGTCCTCAAGGACGATATTGTAAACTGACCTTAAACACGATGACGACTAAAGCCTGTTTTGCTCTTTTGACACCAGAAGACTTTGTTGTTGTGAATGGTAAAAAATACTTCTTTGAAGATACTTACTCAGATATACCACCAACAGGTTTTGTTGACTTATTTAATACTTTAAGGACGGATGTAACATGTGCTGCAACTAGAGCAGGTTTCATTATGTTTGGATGTCCGACTGAGTTTAGTATAAACGATATGAGCTATAATACAAAACTTATATCTGGTTTTTACTACCAACAGTTTCCTATAACAGGAAAAGGTGTCATACAAGGTTTGTCTGTTCCATTGACTTTAAGTACACCTATTTTATATATTGTTTCAAACTTAGGTTCAAAGTGTTATTCGAATGTCGACAGAAACTACTATGACCAAAAGATACTCATGCGTATAAACAACACTTTCTCTGCTGGTTTGCCTATTGTTCATTCGAATGCAGAGTTTTCAGCTTTAGTAAACTCAAACACTTTAGCAAACATAAACTTAACCTTAGTTGACGCAAACTTTGTTCCTGTAAAACTTTTATGTCCTATGTATTTGTCAATGACGGCAGAAAGTTTCGAATTGGAAGATGCAACTGGTGAAAGTATTGTACTACAAGAACAACTTCAACAACAAATAGCTCAAGAACAACAAATGCAACAAATGGAACAAATGCAACAACAAGCTCAAGAATAAAAAAATATTTTTTTTTATTTTTATAAAAATGTACAGAATAGACGTTTCAGATTTTTATGACTTCCAAGCGTTCAGAAATATGTGTCCATTTAGAGACTATAACAAAGCAGTCGAGAATTTGAAACGTTTAGTCATTTATGTCGACTCTGCCCCAGAATGTTATGTCATGAAAGAATGGGATGTTGTCTTTAACAAACCAAGAGCACAATAGTTTCAGAACAAGAATGTAGACAGAAACTTAAGAAAATAAAAGTCGTACAAGTTGGTATGAAGATGTTAGATGCTTGGGATATCTTATTGTCAAAGTTAGAAGATTTTTCAGTTCGAGGTATAAAGTTTATACACCTTCTCCAAACTTCTATTCTATCTTCACTGGATATAAATACGAACAAGTAGAATGGAAAGAAAATTATAGAAGCTTGGTTAGACCATGTCAAAGAAATTATATGCAATGGAAACGAAAGAGTCTATGAGTATATCTTATGTTGGTTTGCAAACATCTTACAACATCCAAGTGCTAAAAATGAAACTGCTCTCATTATAATTGGAAAACAAGGAACTGGTAAGAACACTTTCTTTACAGATATCTTATGCAAACTGTTAGAGGGCTATTCGAACCGAATATGACAAACTTAGAAAACATCTGCGGTAAATTTAACTCTTCAATAGAGAATATGAAACTTATAGTATGTAACGAACTTCAAAGTATAGATACAACAAAAGTTTTAAACTCAGATGCTTTGAAGAGTCTTATAACAGACAAAGTTGGAGTTGTTGAAAGAAAATATAAAGACCAAAGAGTTTGTGAAAATGTTGCAAACTTCATTATGGTTTCAAACAATGTTCCGATGAAGTTAGAAAGTTCTGACAGAAGATATGTAGTTGTCAGAACGTCAGATTCTCATATGCAAGATACAGAATATTTTGACGACTTAGCAGAAACTTTGACACCTAACTTTTACAACCACTTGTTCTCATATTTCATGACATTAGATATTTCTAAGTTCAATCCAAGACAAATTCCACATACCGAAGAAAGACAAACATTGTTAGAAGCAAACAAGAGTGTATATGAACTGTTTATAGATGAGACTAACTTTGAGTGTTTAGATGAAAGGTCATTGTACGATGAATATAAACAATATTGTCAAGAGTATGGTTATATGACAGCGTCTAAACGAACATTCTTGGCAAATGTCAAAAATCTTTTAGATGTTCAGAATGGTATATACAAAGAAAATTTTTATGAGTAAATTTAAAAAAATATTTTTTTATCCGATAGAAAAGATGACGAAATATATTTCAGTAAATAAGTACATGACAGAAGTCAAAGAAGAACTAGACCCATTCGCTTATTTGAATGTTTACTTCTACCATTTTGAAAAGTCTACATTTGACAAAGTTTGGAACATCGAACCAGTTAAGTTTGCTATTGTGACTAAAAATGGTGCGAAATTTGAAGACTTAGACATAGAAGGTTTGTTAGCAGTCAAAGAAAATTTTGACAGAAGGTTCTCAAACCTTAAAGAAGGCAAAGCATACAAACTTGTTATACCTTATGAACCAAAGAAAGCAGACGACTATGAATATTATGAGTCTAAGATAGTTGAAGTTCAAGGTAAATTGGGTAAAAAGATTTTAGAGTCTAAGCCAGTGTTTGCTCCTAAAGAGGAAGAGAACATTGACATTGACCCAGAAATGTTCTAAAAATAAAATTTTATTTTTACATGTCAATTCTTCTCTGGCTCTGGTTCTTCTTCTCTCTTCTTTCTTTCTTCTCTTCTCTACTTTCTTTTCTTTCTTTCTCTCTTCTTCTTCTTCTTTCTGGTGGAGTTATGTCAAATTTCTCAGAACCATATTTTGTAAAAGTTCTTTGTCCTTTAATAGCTCTTCTATTCTGTTTTCTATTTCATCTTCAAGAACAGCGCATGTGTCTTCTTTGCATTCTAAGAACTTTTGTTGGACTTCATCTTTCCAATCGGCGTCATCTCTGTCAACAAGTCTGTCATTGACAAATTTTAAGACTGCTCTGTAATGTTTTATGGTTCTTGTCATATTCCCAGAAACAGAACTTTAGAACAAATTCACCTTTCTTGTTTACACTATGTAAGATTTTATGGTCGACAGATGTTTTGCTGTCGAAAAGTTTGTCTCGAATATAGATAGCGAAATCGCTAGACATTTTCAAAAAGATAAAAATTTTAATTTTTCTAAAAATATGTTAGAAAAAAAGTTTGCTGACATTGACAAGAAATTTGAGAATGTTTTAAAGAACAAGAGGAAGTTAGAAAATGCTCAGATAAAACCCATACATGACAAGTTCTTATTTGCTCAGAATGGTATAACAGGTCTAATTGCACCACCTGGGTCGGGTAAGACTTTCACTTATCTTAAAATGGCTGCACAACAACAAGAACTAGATGAGAAGAACCCATTCTATGAGTTAGTAGTCATTTGTAGTACTTCTGGTCAATTTGACCAAACCGTAATTCGTTCAAAGATATTATAAAAAGTCTAAGTTAGTATGTATAAAAGACTCTGAGTTGTTAGATTGGATAAAGAAGTACCAAAGAAGAGTTTTGAAGTACAATGCTATAAATGAGTATATAAATTCGAAGTTTAAAGACCCAAATGAGGAAATGCAGAGAATATTAGAGAAGAAACACTTCAGAAACAAACAGAAAGAGATAGAATACATTTCGAAGAAATTGCAATCTTACGATTGGAAGACTTACCCTCATAGATGTCTTCTTATCTTAGATGACTTTGCTTCTCATCCTTTGTTAAAGAACAGAGAACAAGACATGTGTCGAATTCTTAAGAAGCTCAGACACTTTAACATTTCAGTTGTCATTTGTGTACAGACAGCCAAGAGTTTAAGTAAGGATGTAAAGAGAATACTTACTGACATTGTACTTTTCCCTGGATTGTCCGAAGACGATTTCATGGAACTTATGAAAGAGTCCATGGCAGGTAAGTTTGACAGACATGAACTATGGGAGAAGTACAAAGTCATACAAGACCCTCATACTTCTTTCAGAATTCACATCTACGCGAACAAAGTTCAAATTGTAAAAAGTCAATAAAAATAAATGGTTCATTTACTCTGCTTGTTTGAAGTTGTCAAAATACTCTGTTATTTTTCACTGTTTTCATAGAGTTTTGGCTACCCCTGTAAAAGTCGGTCTAGAGAAATTTCATGAAATTTGGTCATTTTTTTCAGCAAAAATATATTTTAGGGTAGAAGGTTAGATATAACCTCTTTTCTAACCTCTTTTCTACCCCATATGTCCTTACTGAAAAAGTACGTGTTCCATATGTCATTTTACTCAGAATTTTACTCAGAATTCAATAAAAATATATTTTAGGGTAGAAGGTTAGATATAACCTCTTTTCTAACCTCTTTTCTACCCCAGTTATTTTATAAGCGTTTTACATGGTAAACATTGTGAATTCGTGAAATTCTAAACAGTTTTGTAGCTTCTATTTCTTCTGTCAGTACATCGAATGTTTTCACAATGCCGAAAGTTTCTTTATATTTCTTCTTGACGTCAGATAGAAGGAAATCGTCAGCTGTTGGATAGTTTTTGTTCAGAAATGTCAACATGTCCATTTTATCTTCTGCTGGTTTCTCTACTTCTTTCTTTAAGTCAGCATAGTCGTTTCGCATACGTTCTATCTCTTTGACGGAGTAGTTATATTTCCTCATTGCTGCTTTACATTTTGAACATTGTGGGTTCATTTTTGCGTTATATTCTGAAACCTTACCTGCTAGTATGACTAAGGCGTCAATTGCTCTCTTTAACTCAAAAGTTGCGGGTTTTATTTGTTCGTTCCATACCTTACCCCTACTATCTTTATCTCTTATTTCCCAAACACATTTTGCAACTAACGAAACAAAGTTGTCGTAGGTCTTAAACTCCCCAGATTTGTATATGTCAGAGATGTTCTTATATACCATATCGCAATCTTTGTCCATGACTTTGTGGTTGCAATGAAATCCAAGAAACTCATAGTTAACCTTTCGTATGAACTTCTTTATTTCTACTGAGTCAGTTGCTTTGACTTCTATTTCGTCGAATTCAGGAATAGTTAGTTTTTGTTGTTGGATTTCAGGCAATTTGGGTAAATGGTCAATAATGTCCTGCATTTCATAAAGATACTGTTCATTTGTTTCATCTTTCGCACTACAGTCTAAATTACTTGTTAAAAGTTCTTGCTTTATCTTCTGGATTTTTGTTTCGAAAGTATATGAAGAAGGAATGAAGCTTTTCATCTCTACTAACATTGACGTAGGATTCATGACTAAAGAGTTTGGTGCTGTTGTTGCTAACATGTTCTTACAATAAAAATAAAAAAATATTTTTTTAAAAAAACCAACTTTATTTTTTATTTCGGGAAAACTCATGACAAATTCAAGAGGGTAGAAAAGAGGTTAGAAAAGAGGTTATATCTAACCTTCTACCCTAAAATATATTTTTGCCGAATTCATGAGTTTTGGTTGAAAGAATACGGTGGAGCCAAAAGTGGCTCGACCTCAAAACAAGCATTTTCTGTATAAAACTCATGACAAATTCAAGAGGGTAGAAAAGAGGTTAGAAAAGAGGTTATATCTAACCTTCTACCCTAAAATATATTTTTGCCGAATTCATGAGTTTTGGTTGAAAGAATACGGTGGAGCCAAAAGTGGCTCGACCTCAAAACAAGCATTTTCTGTATAAAATTCATGAAATTCATGAGGTTAGAAAAGAGGTTAGAAAAGAGGTTATATCTAACCTTCTACCCTAAAATATATTTTTGCCGAATTCATGAGTTTTGGTTGAAAGAATACGGTGGAGCCAAAAGTGGCTCGACCTCAAAACAAGCATTTTCTGTATAAAATTCATGAAAATTCATGAGGTAGAAAAGAGGTTAGAAAAGAGGTTATATCTACCCTTCTACCCTAAATATATTTTTGCGAATTCAGCAACAAAATTCAAATTGTAAACGGTTTAATAGAAAAAGTGTTATTTTTTCATGTCCGAAGACTCGAAGGTGCAACACTTCCAAAATACCGACGAACTCAGAAGAGCAGCATGGCAGTATGTTCTTGACAACTTCTTTGAGTTCTCCAGGTACACCTTGGAAAATGCTGAAGAACTCCGACACAGAGAATTTGGAGAAATTGCACTCCAATACTACCTTGACAAACAAAGGGTAAACAAAGGGTAAAATAAGACTAAAAACTTAACGTTTAAAAAGTGACATTTTTATGAGCTCCGAGTCACCGAGAAAACTTGGTCAGATGTTAGCAGCTTACTTCCCTGAGGAGGATGGAAGCGTTACATACGTAAGGTTCAAAAACAACGAACCTGGAATTGCGTACCAAATTCGCAATTACATGACCATGGAAGAGTACGAAAGGTTTCTACAAGAGAAACCAGCTCTAAACAACTCAGAAAAGAAAGAGTAAAAAGTTTAACTCGTAATTGTTTATTTTTTTACTTGTATGGGCAAGCTGCAAGAATGAAGTCGACTATCTCAGTCTTTGTCTTGACCAGTTGGACTGCTCTTGCGAGTACGTCTGTTTTGCGGTCTCCAGCTGGTGTCTGACCTTCGTAATTGCGCATGTTCTTGAGAGCTCCAACTGTAAATGGTTGTAGATGAAGAGTCTCTCAGACTGCTTGAGGTAGTCTTCACGGTCACGAACCGAATCTGTGGTACGAGTCGAATTGGTCGACCTTAGGGAAGAGACTGAAAGCCTGTCATCTTCCATAGGGGCTGTGGCATACTCTTTGCGTAAACGGTTCAGACCTTCTTCGAACTCTTGGTCTCTCTTCGATTGGGATTGAGATTGGAATTGGGGTGGAGGGTTTGACATGAACATCCAAGGGTTAGGGAAGTAAGGCATGGGTTGAGGAGGGTAGTTTGGAAAGCCTTGTGGTGGGTAGTTTGGAAAGCCTTGTGGTGGGTAGTAACCTTGAGGTGGAAATTGGTAGTAATTCGGAGGTCCTTGTTGGAACTGAGGTTGCTGTGGGAGCCTTGTGGAGGTGGAACCTGTTGTGGTGCTGGAGCATGCTGTTCTTCTGGCTGTGGAACGGGTTCAGTAGGTGGGACGTCGGACATTCGTTTGTGTCTTAACCGTCTTTGTTCTGAAACAATATAATATTGTCTTGAAAAAGTACAACATTGTCTTGAAAAGTACAATATTGTCTTGAAAAAGTACAACATTGTCTTGAAAAAGTACAACATTGTCTGAAAAAGTACAACATTGTCTTGAAAAAGTACAACATTGTCTTGAAAAAGTACAACATTGTTCTGAAAAAGTTCAAGACTTGTTCTGAAAAAGTACAGCTGTACTCAAATTTGAGAGACATTGTCTGAAAAAGTACAACATTGTTCTGAAAAAGTACAACATTGTCTTGAAAAAGTACAACATTGTCTTGAAAAAGTACAACATTGTCTTGAAAAAGTACAACATTGTCTTGAAAAAGTACAATATTGTACTGACTCAGTATGGAGCTTGACCCCTTAGACGAAGCAATTTATCTAATTGAGGTAAATGAAACCGTGAAGGAATATCTCAGCAAGTGCAAACCAAGCAAGTCCATTGGCTTCTGGTTGTCCAAGAATAGTGTCTTAAAGTTGGAAATTGAAACAGGTGTTGCAATTCAAGTTCCAGAAGGCACTGCATTCGATGATATTAAGGATGTGAAGAAAGAAGCCCTCTTGAAGTTCTTCATGAAACGTCCTTGGATACTACTTCCATATCGTGAGAGCCCAATTCCACGAATTACACAAATTCTCAGAGCACTACTTCACTACTCTGGACAGCCGTTCTTCATAACCTCAGAAGGCGACATCCAACCAATTCAGTAAACATCTCATTTTAACTTCACTTTTTTTATGTTTTTACTCACACTCGTACTCAACAGGTTTGTGTACAACTATTTCAACTGTGAACCTTGTATTGACCGGTCTTCCTGCAAATGCAAGTTCGGTCAATACACAATTTATGGTGGCAAGAAAGACAGTGGGGAATGTTATTCTGACATCTGTTGTTGCGCTCGAGAGAGAATTGAAATTCCAGACCCAACTCCAACACCAACACTCAAGTTGCCGAAGACTCATGTGAAGAAGAAGCCTTCTGGTAAGTTTCTTATAGCCATCTATATGGCACGCTTTGAGTAAAAACATTTTTTTTTCTTTTTTGAATGAAGCAAGTTAAATTCGTCCCACACCAATCTCAATGGACCGATGAAGAGTTTCAAGCTATGGTTGAAGGTGTTGAGAACGACATAGACGGCGAACTTGAAGGAGCTCAAACCACAATTGCAACCAAAATTGCACAAGTCAAGGAACAGATAGCTCCACTTAAAGCTACCAAAGCTACTCTTGACCTCATGGATAGTTACCGTTTAGAAGTAAAGAGTGGAATAAGACAATTAAAATTAAAACTTCTAAACTACGAAGCTATACTCCAAAAGTTAGCAGAAATGAGAAGACTTTACCAGAGCTACTTACATGTAAGGGACTTACCTTCAAGCAGTCCGACCAAAGATGAATTTTCTGACATTGTCCCAATTTTGTCCGAAAGTCAGCTCAGATGTTTTGAACTGCTCCCAATATATCCAGAATATGAACGTTTGCCTGAACTCTTCCGCAATCTCAAAAAACGTTTTTTGGTTCTCATGTTCGAAACTTTTATCGGAAGAGACAACAAACGTTCAGAAGAAGAACAAGATATTATTTTAAACTTGTTGTATGACATAACTGTCATAACAAGCTTTTTGAAGTAAAACCGCCATTCTCAAACCACTTCATTTTTTCGATGTCCGAACAAGCACCGAAGCCAAACTCAATGGAAGATGTCCTTTCAAGGTTGCCAGACAAGCGCCCAGTTCAACTTCAAATTATGAATTTGAAAGCTCATCTGACAAACACCGTTAAGACTCTCCAAAGTAGTCTTATGGAAGAGATGAAGGGACTTAAAGGTGAGTTCCTCATGAACCAAGCTTCCAATGAGAAAGTCCTGAACGATTTGACGGAAACCTTGCGCATTTACGCGAGAGAGAACCGAGACCTTGCCAGACTCATCTACCGTTTCTTCGAAGAGATAGACGCCATCTGGAAGGTACTCGGAAAGGACAGAACCTCCAACACCGTACTTCGTGAACACAGAATTGCCGAAGGAATTGTCGAGGAAGAAGAGAAACACGAAGAAGAGGAAGAGGAAGAAGAGGAAGAAGAGAAACACGAAGAAGAGGAAGTTTGGGCAACCCTTGTTGCCGATGACACTTACGAAATTTCCCAACCCTACCCATACCAAATCCGCAACAAGGAGACCGGCAAGGTTCTTACCCCAGTTCTCAACAACTTGGGACACTTGAACCTTACCCTTCGGAATTACGGTTCAATCTCCATGGGCAAGCTTGTCGCAATTCAATGGGTTCCAAATCCAAACAAGAGGACGAAGGTCAGACACATTGACGGTGACAAGCTCAACAACCGTAAGGAGAACCTCGAGTGGTTCTAAGAGTAAAAAAATTTTATTTTAGGGGGAAACCCCGAGTAAATTTAGGTGTTTAGTTCATTAAGTGGGTTAAATTAAGGGTAATTTGGACAATTAGCTCCCGACCTCTGAATTGGACTCTTTCGTCATCCCAGTTGCGTAGGAGGTCGTCCCAGAGGAGTTGGTAGAATTGCCAATCCAAGGACGATTTGTCCTCCCAGGCATTGAGGATGTACTGCTCGTAGAGTCTCATGACCTCTCCCTTGCACCAGACACCCTCTCCCTTGGAACGTAAGGCTTCTTCGAAGTGCTCGAATGCGATTGGCTGCGGGACCATCTGAAATGACACTTTTTGTCCGTTTGGTCAATGTTTGTGTCTCGTGCCATAGTCGACGAAAATACAGACAAACAGGTTATATATGAGTTTGAGACCAAGAATGGTGTAACTCGACCTGTCCGATTCAAATTCGAATAAAAATTTTTTATTTCATGCAATGTTTAACTATTTCTCTTCTTTAACACCCAGTACTTCCTTGATAGGACATGAACTTCGGTGAAAATTTTGTCCAATTTGAATTGACCCATCTTTTCACCGACCATTCCCATTTCAATGAGTTTGTTATAGCCTTCTTCGTTCGTCATGAGTGCGTCAATGTTCTCATAGTAAACCTTCACTTTGGATTTGACTTCGGAGAAGAATTTGTTGTAGTTGTCAAGGACTGCCTTTGCGAACTGAGGGTAAGACCAATGTTCGACAATAGGTTTTACTGTGGTTACTAAGCCACCTTGACCTTGAGTAAATTCGTATTTCAAAACAAAAGGGGAGAACCTTTCAACAAAGTTGT